TCTTGTTCTGTATCTTGACTGTATCGATGTCAATATTCTCAGTGTGACAATGTATTACAGTTTTGCAAAATGTTACCATTTGGGGAAAGTGGGTGAGTAGAATACACAGAATCTCCTTGTATTATTTCTTACATGTGCATGTGAATCTCTAATGATCTCAAAATTAAAATTTTAATTTAAAAAAACCCTAGGATGTCATGGATATTATTGTCTTGGATGAGGCTAACAGAAACTAGTTAATTGAGGAAGAGTATTAGGTAAATAACTGTATCATGGTATGGGTGATATTCATTCTAGCATAGCGATTATCAACACAGGTCTTGGGAGAGATCATCTGGGCATAAATTATTTAATCTCTTCAAGTTTTAATTTCCTCATGTGTAAAATGGAGATGACAGTGTAAGCATTAAATTATATAATACACATGAAAGCACTGAGAGGAAAGTTTAGCACTTTTAGCACACAGAAATCTATTAGGAAATGTTTCTATTTTTATTACTAAAGTATGCCAAAGTTATGAAGATGATACATATACTTACTATACATGAGTTTATGTAATAGTATGTTATCTAAAAGAGTGTTCTATGTAAATGCAGTATTTATGGGGCCTTGGAGGTTATATTCCTTATTGACTACCCTAGAAGACTCTTTCATCTCTCATGATTTTAGCTTCAGAACTGCCAAATCCAGCAAAATCTCTCTCAAACTATCATTGAAATAAGATTGCCAATTTGCCAATATGAGGTAATGAATTTAATAGTCACAGACCTGGATTAAAATCTACATTCTACTCTTAATTAATTAAGTTAACCTATGTCTCAGTTTACTCATTAGTAAAATAAAGATAATAATATAACCCGTCTATTACAGTACTGTGATAAAATGAAACAGTGGCCAGATTGTACTTACTACAATTTGTTGACAAAACACGAAGTAGTTGCTATGGCTTTATTCCTCTGTGATTTGATTCTTGATCTTCAATTTCATTTTTTGTAACTGTATAATTTGTTCACGTTTGAAGTTTGTGTTTTAATAATTTAAATTATTCACAAATTATTAAATTATTCCCTTTTAACTTTTCAATTTCTTTAATGCAATTATGTTTATTTTGTTTAGATGGCATAGAGCTGTGTCTACCAACTTAGTGAAACAAAATGTATTGGTCCCCAAAGAGGAATCATCCAGTGATAGTGACATGGGATTTCATGAAAGCCAGCAAAATCAGAAAAAAAAATTGATGAAGAAAATGAAGACTGCTTTTGGGAGGATGCTGTCATACAAACACAGAAACAAGCCAGCAACTGCCAGCAAAGAGGGCTGCACGAATCAGAAAGAAGCCCTCCTCTCAAATACGCAGAGTCTTCTTCCTAGAATCATCAAGGAGCTTCCATCTCCCAAGTTATTTACCAAACCAAAAATGAGAAAGCTCACAGAGAATGGTAATCAAAGGCAGTTTATCATTGTGTTGAGGCAAAGAGGAATAGTGAAATTAGGATGGATTTTCTTCCTACCCAAAGTATGGCATCTCTGAGAAGCTTGTCTGGAATGCGGAACCTCAGTCCTCACCCAGGTCTACTGAGTCAGATTCTGCATCAGAACCTCAGGCCTCACCCAGGTCTACCGAGTCAGATTCTGCACTTAGCAAGATCCTGTGTTGACTCATATGTATATACCTTTTGAGAAGCCCTGGATTGGATTGCCTTTGAGGTTCTCCCAGTCCAATTAATCAATCAGTGGTGTGATCGGTCTGAAGTCACTTTTAATTGAAATATATAGGCATACATATACATATGTATGTGTATATATATTAGAAAATCAAACTAAAATAGGATTTTTTTGTTTTTTTCTGGAGAAAGTAGTGATGCAGACTTTCAAATGGCTACCTCTAACAGTGGAGGGTGTAGTGAGAATTAAATGAGCAAAATTTATGATTGGTAAGTCAGTCAAAAAGGATGCTTGATTTTTATCGTGTCAACTTTCTGTGGACTTTGTGGAAGACTCAACATTCGAACTGTGAACTTTAAGTCTTTTTTGTTCAGGGTCCTGTGAGTCATGACTAACAATACCACCCATGTTTGC